AAAAAAAGTGGGCCTATGGCCAAATGGCTCAGCAGATTAAAGTGCCTGCAAGCAGGCACAGGGGTCAGGGGTTCCGTCCCCAGGGTCTGCTGTGCCTGACCCACCCCCAGGGTACCCTGAGACTGCGATTCAGACTAGGTGTGATGGTGCACGCCTGTAATCCCAACTCTTGGGAGGCTGTAAACGAGTGGATTGCTACAAAAGTGGATCGCTACAAGTCCGGTCTAGTAGTGAGACCCTGAACACCCTGTAGACCCTTCTGTAAAATACAAAAAAAAAAAAGTGGGCCTAAGCCTCAGCATTTGAAAGTCATTCTCATTGTGCAGCCAGCATTCTAAGGCATTTATATTCAAAGAAGATAACCTGTCACTGGCAGTGCCTGCCTTTGGTTTGAGCTACTCTCCGCTGGTGGTGCTGAAGGATTTTTCAGCCAGCTCTCTGGAGTTTGAAGTGCTCTTGAGCCCATCAGTCAAAAAGCTTGGTATACCTAAGCTGCAATCCTTGCCCAGAGAAGACTATATATGTATGCAATGTTAAGACCTAATAGAGCAAGGTATGGTGGTGCATGCCTATAATCCCAGCTCTAAGGAGGCTGAGGCAGGAGGATTGTTGCCAGCTCAAGACCAGCCTGGGCTACAAAGTGAAAACTCAAAGCCAACCTGAACTGCACAGTGAGACTTGGTCTCAAAAAAAAACAGACCTAGTGGAGATCAGCGGTATGACTGTAGTTCTGTGTAATACACTGCTATGCAGGCAGGATAAGTCCTTTAACCTCATTTTGTTACATTATTTCTGAAAATATTTAGAAAAAAATGCAATATAAAGGCAAGGTATTAAGATATTTTCTCCTATTTTGTCAGGAAGCACAGAGGAAAATCAGAAACTTGTTCATCCATGTTCATACCAGCATCACTGGTGATAACCCAAAGGTACTAACAATCCAAGATAATCAAAACACGGCATAAAGACACAATGGAATAATATTGAGCTGTAAAAATGAATAGAGGGGCCGGGGAGATGGCTCAGTGGAATAAGCGCTTCCCTGGCAAGTGCAAGGGCCTGAGTTCAATCTCCTGGTTCTGCAAAAAAAAAAAAAAAAAAAAAGGCTGGTGAGATGGCTCAGTGGTCTAAAGCACCTACTTAGAACAAGCTTGGCAAAGCACAGGGACCGAGGTTCAATCCCC